GATCATGGACTACAAACAGAGAGGTTAGATAAAAACATACATATATCTTTGCTGGACGATTGCATTGTAACACAACTTTATTTCTTGATATTCAGAACCCTGACAGATAAGAATCAAAAACAGAAAGAGACAAAGCAGGCTGCTCCCTAAAAAAAAACCCACCCCACTTTATTGTAGGCTGTCTGTCTGCAGAACTGACTCTGATCACATGCTTCCCTACAGAGCCCCCTGGCCTGCATGCAGGACCAGGAAAACCCTTAGAATTTAAGGTGACCGCTTGTAATTTTTTCCAACGTTTTCAATATGCCTCAGCAAGCAGCAGGGTTGGGCCCAGACCCTCATCTCCCCCCCTCCTTCTATCAGCAGTAGGGCAGCCAGCATCTAAACCAGCTCCACGTCCTATGCAGAGGGTACCACACCGGGAGGAAGCTATTTGCCCACAGCCAATCTCCCACTGCATCAGTGGTTCCTCAGTCTGACCTCATTTTCCCCTTCCTCTGGCAGCAAGATCTAGGGGGACAGGGAAATAACTTGGCACCTACATCTGTGGGGTGTGTGATGGGGTATATAAACCCCGCACTGGACAGGAGGGGGTTAACGAGCAACTCTGGGCTAAGGAAGCCCCACCCTTCCATCCATGCCCAGCATCCTGGGGTTGGAGGCGGCGTTTAGAAGGCAGTCAGGCACTCAGTCTGGGGCTGGCAGGCCAGGTAGAAGGATGTGCTCTGGGAGGTGCAGGGAAGGACATGAGCCGAGTCCGTGAATGGGGGAGCTGCAGCACCCGGAGAATGGGACCAGGGCTGGAAGTCCGAAAGCGCTCTCCAGGGATGGACGGCGGCTGGCTGGGATGCAGTGGGAGGGAAGTCATGATCCGGGGAAGCTGACCTGAGGGTGGCGCACGGCACCACCAGGGTGAACGAAGCCAAACCAGTCTCCCAGCCCCCTGGGTTGGAACCTGGCAGAGTGAGAGGGCCCGGGTTCCCTTACCCCGCCGGGAGTGGCACCCATTAGGTGGCAGATACTGCCTCCCGCACCCAGGGGGAAATATCCTGGCACCTCCATCACAACCACCTATTCTGTTCTTACCCCGCCTCATTGCTGTCAAATCTAAGCACCTTCCGGCTAAGCAATATGACTAACCCCATTGTGCACAGCTCCCTCTCGCTCATCCTCTCCCCGTCGTGCATTGGAGTGGTTTGTTTTGGTAGGGTTTTGTTATTATTTGTTCCACATGGCTCCAGGTCCGCATTAGAGAAGACAGGCTGAAGTAGAGCACCTCACACAGGGAATGGAAATGCAAGAGCACGTTGCCAAGAAGTTTGGGGCAAATGGAACCAAAGCTAAGCGGCCAGGTTTCCTGCCCCACAAATCATAACAGGGGTCCCAATCCAAATCCCTGCTAGAGTGTCCCCAATGCCCACTCCTTTCGCCCAGCGCTCAGGTGAGAACGTCAGGATCAGACCCACAGATCCTGAATCAGGTGGTTATGATGCTCTGAATGTAGAGCTCCTAGGTCATCTCTTTCTGTCAGCTGCCTCTGTGTCCAGAACCCAGCTAGGGACATTACACTAGTGCAAACACCAGAGATTTATAAAAATAAAGTTTAGGCACTTTTCACACGCTGGACATGCATGCGCACGTTCATCTAAGGTCAGCCAGTCTAAGGAGCCAAGGCCTGCCTGGGCCCTAATCCAGGATGGAGGTGTGACAAAGTCCCAAAATAAGTGACTCATGCCAGAAATTCAAAATGCTGTGGATTCCTTAACCCTCCAAGTGAGGGGGAGGGGACACCAAATCCAACTCAAAAGTGCTGATTCTTGGGACATTTGAGAAGGCGTAAGCCCAGGGTTAGTGTTGGCTATGAGGCAGACTGGCCTTGTATATCAAAAAAATATATATAAAAAAATCAAACCCCAATATTTTTATTTTAAAGTCTTGTGGCTCTGACCAAGCAAAAATCTGACTTTTCATCCACATTGCATGTGCCAAAAACGCTGTTCAAAGTTGAGTTTTACTGCGTAGTCAAATATGCAAGAGGAAGTTATAAGCATCTGTCTGAAACAGGAACTCTCTCTCAGTGCATGGGTGGAAGGAATGTATGATTTGTGTTTTTTCTACAATTTCAGTTCCAATTTGTTGCTAACTTTGCAGTTTTTAGATCATTTTTGAGTCAGGGCTCTTGTAAGATGGTAGAGATGACGTCTGTGGGCTGACATGTGATCTCACATGGCTCAGATTACCTATAGACCTACTGACTGACTAGATAAATGTATAGATATGTGGACTTTTCGAGCCCAAAATTACTGGAACAAGGAGGTTCATGTCATAAAGGTGACTTCATCAAATCCCTCTGGGTAATGCCCATGATTTCAAATGGGGAGTGCTTCATTCTGATTTGCCAGAGATGTAGTCTCCATATTGCCTTCAAGTTGGGAGCAATTTGACCCTCCCTCTAACCCCTATTTGGCTGAAACATAAATCTATCAAGTGGCATTGAGAGTGAGAATACCTTATTGCTTTTGAAGCTGATGGCTAAAGAAAACTTCCTCTTGCTAAATTATTACACAAAGCTTACAAGGAACTATTTCTTCCCACGACCTGCAAACTTGATTCATTTGATCTTACTCACTTTCTTTAAATCTGATTTGTTTATATGGACTTTATTTATGCTTTCGTTTCATTAATAACATGTATAAAATTGGAAACCTGGGT